TCAACCCCAACCCCCACCGCATCGCGGAGGAGACACCGAACAAGCCCACCGGTTTCGTCACTGCCATTTAATGTTATTCAAGACAGAGAACATTCGATCACAAATCCCTCCCTTGGTTAATTTGTGTTACACCAGCGCCATTCCAGGCGTGAGCGGAGCCATCACCCCCCCCTTCCTGGCCCCAATCCCTGCCCTTCCAAAGCAGACACCACCAGCGCCCCAAGACCTCTGGCCAGCCTTGGGAGCAACACAAACATATCTCCCTGTGTTTGTGTGTGTGTGTGTGAGAGAGAGAGAGGCCTTTTGGTACAAAAGAACACTCTGTGGGCAAGCGAGATGAGGACTCAGCTGTCCTGATAAGGTCTGATCCTGCCCCTCAGCCTTGCTGAATTTGCCACACACACACCCCCCTGCAAGAGGCCCTGGGGAAGACCCCACAAGGCCCACAACCCTGGTGTGCGTGATTTATGACGGTGGCACCCCCAAGCACCACGGCGGGCTGGCCTGGGGGGGATCAGCTGACATTGGGGGTTAGTGTGGGGAGCAGGAACCACCCCCTGCCCCACCTATCGTCCAGCTACAAGGGGAAGCAACCCATCCTTCCTTCTGAGGGACCAGGGTAAGGAATTGGGGTTTCCTGGGCGGGGGGCTCCCCTCTTCCTCCTCCTCCTCCTCCTCCAGTGCAAAGCCAAGGAACGGGAGGTGGGGCCAATGCAGGGAGCCAGAACGGATCGTTCCCTCATGTGGCTGCCCCAGGAAGAAGCCTGGGAGGGCCGCTGCCGGCACCTGCCTGCCTGCCTGCGAGGGAGAAAGCGGGGCTGCCAGAAGGGCTTCGGAGTGTGCGAAAGGCAGGCCGCGCCGGCAGCAACCTTCCAGGGGATGGAGGGAGTTTCAGGCAGCCAAGAGGGGCCCCGTGGGGTGGGGTAGGGTGGGGGGGGGATGCCCTCTGAGTAACAGTCTTCCAGACACGAGGATGCCAAGGGTCCCGATGCTTCAGAGCCGCCGCGAAGGCCATCCTGCCTTGAAGAGTCGGGACCCCTGGAATAAATAGCACGGAGTGCTGGGTCCCTCCAAAGGACGTGGCCGAGACACGCCAGGCAACCGGAGTGGGGTGGGTGGGGGCAAATGAGGGCCCCAGAAGGCTTAAATTAACAACGCACAGAGCCTAAAGCAGGTACAGTACTCCGATACGGACTAACCAAGAGACTACGGGGGAACTCTGTACAGCCTGGTGACCCAAACCGTGGGTCTCCCTTCCTGGGGACGGTCTAGGCGGCAGGAGTGGAGGGACCCCCAGCCCCCCAACCCTACCCCCCCTCAGTAGATGTAGAGGCGGTCTGAGATGGCCGCCGGCATGTGGGTCATGACCTGCATGCGCAGCCACCAGTAGTAGTCCATGGGGTGGTAGCGGGTGTAGGGCGTGGTGGAGGTCAGGGCGTGGGTGATGCTGTCGATGACGGGCGAGGTGTCGGTGGAGCCGCTGTTGCAGTACGACTGCATCTTGGCCACCTGCTCGTCGAAGTACTTGCGCCCGTAGTCACGGCGCACAATCTCGGGCAGCTCGTCCCACATCTTGTCCGCGATGCTCTTGATGCGCTCGGGGCTGTACAGGCTGGTGCCGGCAATGAAGTTCCCGGGCTCCACGATGCAGACCTTCACGTCGTGAGGGCGCATCTCGTAGCGCAGGCAGTCGGAAAAGGCCTCCACCCCAAATTTGGTGATGCAGTAGGGGGAGCGGGCCGGGTTGGCCATGCGTCCCATCATGCTGCTGATGTTGACCACGCGGCCTAGTGGAAAAGAGCATGGCGTGAGGACGAAGGAGGGCCCCCCGGCTCCCAGGGGAGGCTCCTTTCCCGACCCTTCCTGGCTGAGCCAGGAGGTCCCTTCCATGGCCTTTCCGGCTGGGCTGGCGTCTCCTGGGCAGCAGGAAAAGAGGACAGACGGATCCCACCCAGATCCACGATGCTGCGGCTGAACAAGACGGCCGCCCCAGCCGAAACGTGGCTCACGGCTCTGGGGTGTGTGCGCATCTCCTTCCCTGGTAAAGCCAGGATGGGGAGAGGTGGCAAGGCCACAGGTCCCTTGCGCGGGGCCACGCCTGGCCTGCCATGCCAGGTGGTGAGGGCGGCCCCAGGGCCATGTTCCTTGGCAGAGGCTCCCGTGGGAGGGGCGGCGCGGCAGCCGGCAGGGGGCGAAGGCCGTCCGTGGCTCCAGGGGTTTTTCGAAAAGCCCCTTTGCCGGCAGGGCTCCAGGGCCAGGGGGCCCGCCTCGCGCCTCCTGCGCCTGCCAGGCCTGTGGGATGGAGGCCCCCATTTGTGCTTTTCTTGGCAGCAGGGGGGTTGAGGAAAAGACCAGACGCGCCACCCCCATCCCTCTTCCCTTCCGCGAGGGCCTTCCCTTCCCTTCCCTTCTCGCAGGAGCAGGCCACGCTTTCTGGAGCCACGGGGCAGATGACCAGTGAGGAGACTTCAGGGCAGCTGGAGGAGCGCTTACCTTTGGCTCGGCGGATGAGGGGCAGGAAGGCCTTGGTGGTGCGGATCGTGCCCCACAGGTTCACTTCTGCCACCTCCTTGTAGGTGTCCATGCTGGTGAATTCCACCTCCCCAAAGGTGGAGACGCCGGCGTTGTTGACGAGCCCCCAGAGACCTGGGCAAGGGGGGGGGAGAGAAACCGTCAGCTGGGCTCCCCCCCTTCTCGGAGCAGAGTCGCAGCTGGACCCCTCTTCCCTTTGCCGGAGGGTTCAGGTGGGGAGGTCAGCTGGCCCACGACAGGGAGTTCCTCGGGAGCAGCTCCTGCCTGGCTCGATTGCTTTTCCCTAAAAGTGCTTCTGGAAGTGTGCCATGGAGTTGGGTGCAGGGAAGAAGGACCCTTCCCCCCCAAGGGACCCCCTCGCCCCGGCACCCCCTGGCTCCCCTCCCCCGCCTACCTGTCTCTGGGCCTCTCAAGGTCGACGTCATGAAGTCCACGGCCCGAGACACTTCCTCGCTGTCACAGACATTCAGCTGCACTGTCCGCATGCGGTCGCTCTTCATGTCGTCCAAGTCCTTGGAGCCCCCCCGGCCTTGCTCCTGGGGAGAGGAAGCACTTCCGGGTCACCCCTGCCCCGCAACCAGACCAAAATGGCTTCAGGCCATCCATCTCAATGGAATGGCTGAGGCACCCCCTCCCTCTCTCACACACACACATGCTGGAAGTCTCAACCCAGAAGGTAGGTGATGGGGCAGCCGTGGCCCACATGCGAAGCCCTCGACCGGCTGCCCTCCTGCGACATCCAGAGGGCAGGAGGTAGCCCACGCGGTGCTCCAGCCACCTGGGATGAGGCCCCCTCCAAGCCAGACTGAAGAAGACCCAGGTTGTCCCCTGCGGTGGATCAGAGCAGGAGATGCCTTCCAGGAGAAGAGGCCGGGCGGAGGGCCCGCCTTTCCTGATCTGCCTTGGAAGTCTACCTCTACATCCCTAAGCCACCTCTACGGCCACTGACTCTCTGGAAGCGCAAAGAAGAGGCCGTGGGGCCGAGGGCCCAAGATCTTAGGGGTCTGGGAGAAAAAAAAGCCGAGGGCCGCACCCGAGGCCCCTCTGCAACGACTGGCAAGCTGATTTCAGTGGGGCTAATTAAGGAATCCCTCCTTCTGGGTCGGAAGACCCCAAGAGGAAGGAGCTGGCAGCAGCCGCCAAGCCTTTCTTGAAATGGGAGAGCCTAAACCCACGACCACAAGCAGTTCTTCTTTATCAGAAAGAAGAAGTGGGGCGGGTGCAGAGAAACTCTAGGAAGCCAAAGGGAGTCTGCCTTGCCTTGCCTTGCCTTGCCTTGCCTTGCCTTGCCTTGCCTGCCTGCCTGCGGGAAGCCGAGGAAGGCTCCCGGTGAGGGAGAGCTCAGCGGCCTCGGCCTTCCCGCCCAAGGAAAGCCAGGCTTCGCCTGGAATAATCAAGGGAGAATCAAACGGCGGTGAGGGAACTGGTGACCGAGAGGGGATCTCAAAGCAGGGGGACTTCAAAGGAATTCCAAATCTCGGGGCCAGATCAGCGGCACCCGAGGGGAGGGAAGGGACGTGGAGAAGGAACGTCTGTGCCTTCGCTTGGCATTCGGCACAATTTGGCCAGGTGTACTGTGATACTCTTCTGGCCAAGCGGGTGAAGCATGGACCAGGCAACGCCCCCCCCCGTTGGGCAACCCCACCCTCCCTTGGGCAGCTTGGAGACAGTCCCTGTCCTGTGCCAGCCCCCAGGCCAAGGCTCCTAGCCTCCCCGCCACCACGTGGCACCCCTTCCCACACCCAAGCCCAAGGGAACGGCGACCGCCTCCTCCTACCTTCAGCAGGCAGCCAGCATAAATGATGAAGCCCTTCTCATGCAGGTGCTTGGCCAGGGCAAAGCCAAAGCCTGAATCGCAGCCGGTGATGAGAACCGCCCGCTCGCCAATCTACAGCAAGGCAGAGAGGAAGAGGGGGCATCAGATCCCGGCTCCCCGGGAGGGGAGAACCTAGAGGGGGGTGCTGGGGGGCTCCTGTTCAACCCCTTGGCCGTTTGCCTGCCGGGTCCCCCCCAGGGTTCTGTTTTGCCACCTATGCTATTTCACGTCTACATGAAATGTCCGGGAGAGACTGCCCAGCAATTTTGGGGTTCGGTATCACCAGTATGCGGATGTCACCCAACTCTCTATCTCTCCTTGCCACTTAAATCCAAGGAAGCTCTTCCGGCTCCAGATCCACATCTGGTGTCATTAATGGACTCGATGAAGGTTAAATAAATTGAAACTTTATCCAGACAAGACGGAGCTGATCCTGGGCAGTCAAAAGGCAGATCAAAGAATAAGGAGTCAGCCTGCGCTGGGTGGGGGTTGCACTCCCTCTGAAAACTCAGGTGCGCAGATTCATCCCTGAGCCAAGTCTCGGCGGTGGCCAGGAGCGCATTTGTACAATTAAAACTAGTAGACCAGCAACGTCCATTTCTTGAAAGGTCTGGTCTGGCCATTGTCATACACGTCCTCGTTACTTCCTGGCTGGATTACAGTAACTCGCCCTATGTGGGGCTGCCCATGGAAAGTGTCAGGAAACTTCAGTGGGTCCAAAAGGCAGTAGCCAGATGGCTGACGGGAGCTGGTTGCAGCGATCACACACACACACCCGTTGCAGCAGCTCCACTGGCTGACGATCCATTTTTGGGCACAATTCCAAGTGCTGCTTTTAACCTATAAAACCCTAAACAGCCAGTGCCCAAGTTATATCAAGGTCTGTGTTTCTCACTATCAGCTGGCACAGGCTTTAAGATCCTAGAGGAGGCCCTTTTCTCAGTATCACTACCTTCACAAGTAAGCAGGGTGGGGACACAGAAGAGGGGCTTCTCCGTGGCTGCTCCCAGAGACCCTGGAACTCCCTCCCACTGTAAGTCAGGCTGGCCCCATCTCTGCTGTCCTTCTTTTCAGGCAAGCTTTCCTTTAAACGAATGATAAACCAAGGGGATTTTTAAAAGGGGTCATTTTGCTTTGTGTGAGTTTAATCTCACCCTCATTTAATATAACAGTTCTTTAATGCTTTTTAAATATTGTAATACAGTAATTTATTATTAGTTTTTAACATTGTTTCTTTTAATGCCATGAACTGCCTTAGATCCTTTAGAAGAATGGCAGCATGCAAATATTTTAAACCAACCAACCAACCAACCAACCCTGGGGTGGGGTGAGGATCAAGGCTCACCACCATCCCAGCTGGCCTGAACCCCCAGTGCCTCTGGGGAGGGGTGAGGATCAAGGCTCACCATCATCCCAGCTGGCCTGAACCCCCAGTGCCTGACTGAGCCAGGAGGACCCACCAGAGGGCGCCAGATCATCAGAAGCGCCCTGTAGGCTGAGGCCTGTCTAGCCCTGCCTCCGTTTGCCCTCCTTCCCCCCCTCACCGGCCACAAGGAGGCCACCCTCCCCTAAGGACCGTCTCTCCCCATCCCCGCCCAGTGGTAGCTTGGCATTTAGTGCCTCCAAACCAGAATCTTGGAAAGTTGCTGGGGGGAGGGCAAGCCCAGTTTTGGGGGGGGGGGACACTTTTTCTTGGAGTTGCTTGCTTGCTTGTATTTGCTGCCTTTCTTCCAGAATTGGAACCCAAGTCCATTTACAAAAACAACAGAAAAACAGCTGCCGATTAGAGGACGCCAACATTAAGGTTGCATTAAATTCATTACGTTTCTAAAGGACCACCGAAAGGAACAAGCTTTAGGGAGTGCAGCTTTGAAAGCTGCTATCCTGAAAAAGTAACTCTCCGGAGCTTGACCCTAGCCTTCCTGGGGAGGGTTTCCGGACAAGGGCCCTC